AGTTGCAGATTTTCCAGTGCAGATATTGGCCCACTCTGTCATGTCGGGTTTTATATTCAGTGGGTGCCAACACCGTACAACCTGATACAAGATGATTAATCGTTTCTGGATATTTATCACAGAATCTGCATTTTGGGCTGATGCTTTGGGATGATGCATGCGATAGCAAGTGAGATTATTATTATTATGATTATTATTATAATCATAATAATAATGATGATGATAATGATAATAATAATAATAATTATTATTATTATTTTTTTTCCCCAGAAAATCGCCCTACTAGGAACATCCCATATACTAAGACAAGTGCAATTAGTTAAATGACAATTCTCCTATAGGGCCTAAGGATCTTAGTTTGGACCCGACTCTACAGGATACAAAGCAGGAAAGACGACGACTACTACTACTACTACTACTACTACTACTAATAATAATAATAATAATAAGAAGAAGAAGAAGAAGAAGAAGAAGAAGAAGAAGAAGAAGAAGAAGAACGAAAATAATGATAATACTGTACCAATACTAATCGGAGGTCCGGGCCTCACGCGAAAAAGAATGGACAATTTTAGTAGCAGTGTCCCAGATAACATCAACATAGAAGTTGCCCAGAAGATCGCCCTGCAATGAATATTCCTATATACTAAAAAACTGCCATCAATTAAATGACAATTCTCCTATAGGGCCTAAGGAGCTTAGTTTGGACCCGGTTCGACAGGATACAAAGCAGGAAACATATCACGCAAACAATAATAATAATGATGATCGATTGGGGGTGTTAACATGTTCATGCTTTGTTTTGATGAATTAATAATAGTTGTAGTAAATATCCCGTTCAGCATTTCAGATTTCATTTTATTGGACATAAAATATGGGATCGGTTTTTCTATTTTTATTAATGCGCAGAAACCCTTCACCCAAGATTTCCTAATATATTAACTGAAATATATATATATTGAAAGGATTACATGTAGAAACCTTGTAATAAAATTAATGCAAACAAACCCAACATAAAAGATCAGGAAAAAGGAACCTGCCAACTAATTGATATGAATTGCCCACAGGATTCAAATAATTTTAAAAACTGTTAAATTATAAGGACATGCAAATAGAAGTGATAGAAATGTAGAAACTTATAAAAACGATTATCCTTGTTGTGTTAGGGGCATTTGGTATGATGAAGAAAGGGTACCGAAAATCATGTGAGTACAATTTCTAGATGCATCAACATCTCAGAGTTACAAAAGCCTACTTTGTTCAGATCTGCACATAACATCCGCAAAACCCTCTCCATCTAAACAAAATGTCCTAAATGTGCATTGATAACTCTCCTATAGGGCCCTTAATGTGGGAATTTAAAACTCTGATTATTTCAATTGTGATAGGGGCATTGGGTATGATAAAGAATTTTAACGAAATCCCTGAAGACGTCAGCATCTCAGAGCTACAAAAGATTACTTTGTGCAGAACTGCACATATACGCAAAACCTTCTTTATTTAAAGGAAACATTGCAGATGTGCATAGATAACTCTCTTATAGGGACCTTAATGTGAAAATTTAAAACTATAATTGTCCCCGTTTGGATAGAGGTTTTGGGTTTGATAAAGAATGGTACCGAAAATCATGTAAGTTTCCTGGACACGTCAGCATCTCAGGGCTACAAAGGATTAATGTGAGCGAAACTGCACACCCACAAAATTCTTTCCATTTAAAGGAAACATCCCAAAATGTGCATAGATAACTTTCCTACAGAGACACTTTTAGTCATAGACACCGGGGGGGGTACTTTGTAATTAGACACTTAAAATAACTCTATGGCAAGATGATACCACACACAAGAACATTAATGATAGTGTTATATAAATAAGGAAAACAGAAATTGTCAAATTATTGGTTTTGTTGTTCCGTGTGAAGAAAGAGAGAACTCGAAAGAAACTGAAAAAAAAACAAGATCTAGCTCGAGAGATACAGAATATCATTGTTGGAGTAATTCCTGGACTAATGGCTGCTAATGATTCAAAAGTAGATCTTTAGAAATACCCTCAATCGGAGACTGGGTTAACCGACTTGAATGTATTTCTGAGCTTTACCTGTAAAGTTATACGCTTCTTTAATCAAAACCTGTCAACATATCACTCACATTTGGCTGTGATGCATGTGATTGGTATACAATTTTTAGGCTGCGTATTATTATGGGTATACGAAGCTTGATTAAAATGTCTCTAGACTGTTACTATCGTAACGGGGTTAAAATACACAGGGTAAAGCCGCTTAGCACAGATTGACCTTTAACCGAAGGAAATAAAATAATAATAATTTCAAAAACTGTCAAACTATAAGAACCTACAAATCAAAGTAACAAAAATGTGGAAACTTAAAACTACGATTATCCTCGTTGTGTGAGGGGCATTGCATGTGATAAAAAAAAAAGGTCCCGAAAATTATGTGAGTAAAATTGCTGTAAACATCAACATCTCAGAGCTACAAAAGCCCACTTTATTCAGATCAGCAAATATCATCTGCAAAATCCTTTCCATTTAAAGGAAACGCCCCAACATGTGCATAGATAACTCTTCTACAGAGCCACTTTTAATCATAGACATTGGTAGGGGGGAGTTAATTAGACACTTAAAATTACGCTATGACAAGATGATACCGCACACAATAATATTAATTAAGATCTTTAAAAACTATCAAAATACAAGGATCTTGAAGAAGAAATCTAAAAAAAAATTATGACACATGAAGACATTAATAATTCCAGTTGTGGTTGAAGACTTTGGTCTTATTGGATATGTTTCTGATAAACTCATTCAAGGGATGGTTCATGCCTTAATGAAATACAAAATAATGTTCTCATAAGCACAGCTCACATATTACGAAGGTCTTTACCAACGTAAATTGTGTGTGATTTTAGATTGTTTTATATATATATATATATATATATATATTACAAAAATGTTCAGTGAAAATGCCATAGCACCATTTCTGACCTTAGGTCTATGGCTGGAACCCAGACGTAAATGTTTATACAACAGCAATAATAATAATAATAATAATAATAATAATAATAATAATAATAATAATAATAATGTAAAATGTGTATTATCATGAAGCCATTTTGGATGTACCTGGAAGGAAATGTCTATATAACAGAAATTGAAGGAAATAAAATTATAATGATAATTTCAAAACCTGACAAATTATAAGAACCTACAAATCAAAGTAACAAAAAAGTGGAAACTTAAAACTACGATTATCCCCGTTGTGTGAGTGGTATTGCATATGATAAAAAAAGTGCCGAAAATCATGTGAGTAAAATTGCTGTAAACATCAACATCTCAGAGCTACAAAAGCCTACTTTATTCAGATCAGCACATATCATCCGCAAAACCCTCTCCATCTAAAACGAGATGTCCAAAATGTTCATAGACAACCCTCCTATATTGTCCCTGAATGTCGGAACTTAAAACTATTATCTCATATTTACATTATTCGGATTATTGTCCTCATCTTTGTCGTCATATTTGGGTCCTGTCACTGGATCTAACCAACGCCTTTATCCACTGTGCCATGTGTCCTCAGTGGATAAATGCGTTAGTTAGATACAGTGAGAGGACGCGAAGAGTGTGGGTTCAATACCCGGTTAAGGCAGCGGAGAACTTTCAGAGGGAAATTAGCAGGAGATAACTGATAACTGACATCCATTAAAAACATGGCACGTGGAACAAGAAGAGTCTACCCCAGTGAGCGAAATATAGGGTTCAGTTCGATATTCCAACCAACTGAAGAAGGCCGGAGTATACAACGGCCAAAACGTTGTAATACATATGGCGACAAAGATGAGGACAATAGTCCGAATAATGTAAATAATGTACATAATACGTGATCTCAGAAATATAGACAGATACTGAAAGGCCGAAACGTTGTAATAAATATGACGACAAAGATGAGGACAATAGTCCGAATAATGTAAATAGTATACATAATACCTCATCTCAGAAATACAGACAGATACTGAAAGGCCGAAACGTTGTAATAAATATGGCGACAAAGATGAGGACAATAGTCCGAATAATGTAAATAGTGTACATAATACCTCATCTCAGAAATATAGACAGAAGATTATCTCAGTTGTGATAGAGGCATTGGGTATGATAAAAAATGGTAACAAAATATATTACATTGTGTGGAAATGCATATATCATCCGTAAATCTTCTCCAGATATGCATAGAGAACTGTTCAACTAATTATCTAACGGAAAATTCCAAGATGAATAACATCCCCATCATATTAAGCACTTTTCAGTTTCATGCCTTCACACTGGCTGCGTTTCATTCGTTTTGACGCGTTCATTGGCAGTTCAGCCGTATTTTTTTAATTCCAAGACACGCAAAGTTTCTACAGAGACTTATAATTTTCATATTTGAAAAACTAAAAAAAAAAAAAATAATAATTCTGCTGAAATATTATTTAACTCTTTTTCTTTTCTTTTTCCTTTCTTAAATCGCGCTCTTTTCTTAACTGTGGAAAAATACTGGAAGATTTACGTCAAGGATTTTGTTTAATAATAACAATAAATAATAATAATAATAATAATAATGATTCATAATGGAACTGTTACAGAAAGGAAGGCTCTTAAGGAAGATACGAATAATCTGAAAAAAGTTTAACACAGATGAAAATTGCATGATGCTTAAGCTTATGATGATTTTGTAAGAGTAGCTTAAGTGTGGCACAAGGCTGAAAGTATGGAGCATCCAGTATGGATCGAAGTCACTACTTAGTCGTAATTGTTATAGAGTGACAGGCTTGATAACAATTACACCGTGTCCCCAAAATGATTTTCTAACCATTGCTTAGATATGGAAGAAGGCCGAAAATATGGCGCACCCAATAAAGATTGAACTCCCTACTCAATCGTAATTCTTATAGAAGGACAGGTTTGTTAACCATTACACTAAGTTGAGGTGCGCTGAGGCTACTGGATATGATACTATGTTACTCTGTTCAGGATCTGTTCATGCTTCGGAGTCGAGAGGTTAGATTTTTAAGTTGTTTTTTTTCTTTTTTCATTAACATTGAATGATGAGTTCTGTAACATCGACTAACACTCGTTGCCACTTATTTACTGTCAACGAATACTCGTTGTCACTTTCGTAATGCTCGTTGTAGTAGAGACTTTGTAATCGCAGATAACAACTATAGTAACGCCGTTGAACAATTCTGGTGTCAGACGCCTTTGAATAACACTCGCACTAATAGTACTTGCTTGATAATACTCGCTTGAATAGTAGCCACCAAATAGTGATCTGAATAGTAATCCGTATAGAGAGATATTCACTAACCACCCCACGCGGTCGGATGTGGCGCAAGGCCGAGTTTATTGAGGGGTATCCGATCCCGTAGGCTCGGCCAAAAATTCCCCGGAGCTGTCTCCCGAGAAGAGACTCTGCTCTTCGACATAACCTCGTCTGGGTTCCTCTCTGCCCAGAGGCAGAAAGTTTAACCAGGACACTTCCGAAGTAATGCGGAGAGTGAGATATTCACTAACCGCCCTACGCAGTCGGATGCGGCACAAGGTCAAGTTTACAGTTGGGTATCCGAGCCCGATGGCTCAGGCAAAAATTTCCCGGAGTCGTCGTAAAAAAAACGGAGTCGGGTAGCTGTCTACCACCCCAGACGAGACTCTGCCCTTCGGCACAGTCTCGTTTGGGTTCCTCTCTGCCTGTTGGTCCTGGCTGGTTCTTCTTTTTTTTATCGGTGTTTCTCTTCATCCCTTTTTTAACGTTTTATCTTCCATATTCTTTTTCCTTCGTTTTTCTCTTCCTGTTTATTTTTCTTTCCTTTTTCTCTTCCATTTTCTTTTTCCTACATTTTTCTATCCCTGTTTCTTTTTCCTTCCTTTTTCTCTTCCATTTTCTTTTTCCTACGTTTTTCTATCCCTGTTTCTTTTTCCTTCCTTTTTCTCTTCCATTTTCTTTTTCCTACGTTTTTCTATCCCTGTTTCTTTTTCCTTCCTTTTTCTCTTCCATTTTCTTTTTCCTACGTTTTTCTATCCCTGTTTCTTTTTCCTTCCTTTTTCTCTTCATGTTTCCTTTTTCCTCCGTTTTTCTCGTCTTGTTTCTTTTTCCTTCCTTTTTCTATTCATGTTTCCTTTTTCCTCCGTTTTTCTCGTCTTGTTTCTTTTTCCTTCCTTTTTCTATTCATGTTTCCTTTTTCCTCCGTTTTTCTCTTCCATATTCTTTTTCCGTCGTTTTTCTATTCCTGTTTCTTTTTCCTTCGTTTTTCTCTTGTTTCTTTTTCCTTCGTTTTTCTATTCCTGTTTATTTTTCTTTCCTTTTTCTCTTCCATTTTCTTTTTCCTACGTTTTTCTATCCCTGTTTCTTTTTCCTTCCTTTTTCTCTTCCATTTTCTTTTTTCTTCCTTTTTCTATTCCTGTTTCTTTTTCCTCCGTTTTTCTCTTCATGTTTCCTTTTTCCTCCGTTTTTCTCTTCCATATTCTTTTTCCGTCGTTTTTCTATTCCAGATTCTTTTTCCTTCCTTTTTCTCTTCCATTTTCTTTTTCCTACGTTTTTCTATCCCTGTTTCTTTTTCCTTCCTTTTTGCTTCTTTTTTCCCTTTTTCTCGTTATGATACTCTTCTTTCCGTTTTTCATTTCCCGCTTCTTTTTCATACGCTTTAGTCTCCATGCTTCTTTTTTCCGTTTTTCTCTTCCGACATCATTTTTATTCATTTTTCATACGGTTTAATACGGTTTTATTCACTTTCCATACGACTTTTATTCATTATTCATCGACCAGCACACTTCCAAAGTAATCCGTATAGTGATCCCTTAGACGCATGCATACGTTTACATTACCATCACGTGATCTACTTATTCAAAATGGAATCGCCTGTGTTTGCTCTCTGTTGATCTGTGTTCAAATTCCAGTGTCGGCAGCAACACTTCATTCCTATATAACAATGAGGTATACAAGGGACACATACAGGGTTTGGACAAAATAATTGGAACAGTTGCAAAATCCACTCCTATATTTCAAAGACCTATTATACTAAGAACTTTATCTAAAACTTCGTAATTGCAGGTTATATCTATTGTAAATACGTTTATTTATCTAATTTACTGTCTTTGTCTTATTTATTTTTTCTAATTTAGTAAAATTTAAGCTAAATGCGTGGCCTCTCCGAGTTCGAAAAAGAGCAAATTCTTGGTGCTCGCATGGCATGAGCCTCGATCACTAAGGTTGCTGAAATGTTTGGTTTTTCAAGAGCTACCATATCAAGAACATTGATGCAATTCGAGAAACAGGGCAAGACCTCTAGCAACCGTAGCAATTCGGGCCACACTTGCAAACTTACTGACAGGGACTGACGTGCATTGAAACGCAATGTGGGAAAAAAATCATCGGACAAATGCGGCCAAAGTGATTGCTGAGTTCAATAACCATCTGAATAGTTCAATTTCTACTAAAACTGTTCACCGTGAGCTCCATAGGGCTGCATATCATGGAAGAGCTGCTGTGAGAAAACCTCTTCTCTCCACTCGCAACATTCAAAAGAGGTTGAAGTGGTGCAGAGATCACAATGCCTGGTCTGAAGACCAATGGAAGCAAGTCATATTCTCAAACAAGTCCAGTATTTCTCTTTTCCCAACTTCAGGGTGAGTTTATGTGTGGAGGCAGCCCAAAAAAGCTTACAACCCTGACTGCCTTCTTCCAACAGTGAAGCATAGAGGTGGATCAGTGATAGTTTGAGCCGCCATATCATGGAAATGTCTCAGTTCAATAGTTGCCCTGCATGGTAGAATCAACAGCAAAGATTACCTGAACATTTTGGGAGATCATGTTCATCCAATGGCCCAGACTTTATTCCTTGATGGTGACTGCTCCAATACATATCGCTTGAGTGGTTAAGAATTGGTATGAAGAGCATGAAAGTGAGCTAGAATACATGGAGTGGCCTCCCCAATCTCAAGATATCAATATTATTGAATATTTATGGTGCATTTTGGAACAACAAGTTAGGAGCTGCTATCCTCTACCATCGTGTCTTAAAGAGCTGGAGATGGTTTTAATGGAAGAATGAGTGAAAATTCCTCTGGATGAAGTCAGGGATCTGTATGATTCCATTCCTAGACGTATTAAAGCTGTCTGTGAGGCTAAAAGAGGACCAAATCCATATTAAATAATTTTTCTTGGAATTTAACAAGTGTTCCAATTATTTTGTCCAACCCCTGTATCTGTATAGTTTGAAACGGATGACTGAGCGGAGTGGCTTACCCAAACTGAAGGCATTTCAAACCTGACAACTATACCACGGGTTGACCCAAGCCTTATGATTGAAACTGGGTAGATGTAACCCTTGGGAGCCGTCGATAGCTGTGCTAGCACGACGTTACAAGTGATCGAATATTTGAGAGTGCTAGCCTTGTTCAGATTGTAGTTCAGGCAAGATAATAAGCTTCTCCCCCAGAAATCGTAACTAAGGTCCGCTCAGCATAGTTACAGTATAAAACACAGCTGGGTGCTGAACAAACACAAAATGTGCCTGAGCAAGCGTCTGAAATACGGTTTAGCTAGCTGCCCTGGTAGACGAGTATCTGCGAAGACGAGTGGCTCGCCATTATTATCACTTTGTTGACGTTGTGTTCTCTCACTAAATAATTGTCATATAAGAAGAAAATGAATGACTACCCACACCGAGGGTCAAGTGTGACACTCTGGACTTACGAATATGTTTTCCTCCAGGTGTATAAATAGTGGTGTCAGGCTACTGACTGCGGTGATTATTCAGTGACTATTGAGTGGAACTATCCAGTCGAATTAGTGTGAATTATTATGCGTCGATGATTTGGGTTTTATTTAGGATTTATCGGACGTTAAGCCGATCTGCGCTACTAACAAGGTAATCACTGAAATGGTTAATTATCTTTGGTTGGTATGATCACCCAATTTAGGCAACTTGGTCCTTACTTAGTTGGGTGACGGCTTGTGAATACCATCTGATGTAAGGTTGGATGTGCGGGTGGTGTAATGGATAATGACTCAGAATTTTTATTCAGAAAGCCGAGTTTCAATTCCTCTTGGGTTCTTTATATAAACTTAAGCGCAGATACCTTTGGGAAAAGTACGAATACACTTCTACTCAAATGTGAGTGACAAACTAAGAAATATATGAAAAAGCTGTCTTAGATAAACACGGGAAAGTACTGTAACTAAGCCGACCTCCGTATTGTTGGTTTTGAAACGATACTGAGAAAGTTGCTGAAGTTCCAGGGAAGTTTACTGTTACTTAATGTCTATCAATTACTATGAGACATTTTGTGCTAATCTGCAAATGTGTAAAAGGAGTGAATAAAAGACGGAGCAAGAAACAGAAGTTTTTTATTCGATGGAAGAAATGACCAGGGAGAATTTGATTCGTAAGCAGAGGAAAAACAAGTTCCATTTGTTGAAATAGAAGTAAATAAATTTATTTCGTAGAAGAAGAAGAAGAAGAAGAAGAAAACAAAACAGAAGAAGAGGAGAAGAAGAAGAAGAAGAAGAAGAAGAAGAAGACGAGGAAACAAGAGAAGAAAAAGGAGAAGAAGAACGAAAAGGAGAAGAATAAGCAAGAGAAGAAGAAAACAAAACAGAAGAAAAAGAAGAACGAAAAGAAGAAGACGAAGCAAGAGAAGAAGAAGAAGGCGAAGAAGAAAAAAGAAAAGAAGACGAAGAAGAAGAAGAGGAAGAAGAAGGAAAGGAAGAAGAAGAAGAACGTAAAGAAGAAGAAGCAAGAGAAGAAGAAGAAGACGACAAAAAAAGAAGACGAAGAAGAAAGGAAAGAAGAAGAAGGAAAGGCAGAAGAAGAAGCAAGAGAAGAAGAAGAAGAAGAAGAAGAAGAAGAAGAAGAAGAAGAAGAAGAAGAAGAAATTGCAGAATAATTTTGTGCCGATTAACTTATTAGCTATCACATCTCGACCTCTTAATACATCCATCGAAACATTTCCGCGTTTGTAGCAGAGATATTCTCGCGAGAATAGGAAACAGTCATCGCGGACGCTATTATTAACGAGACTTGGCTAAAACAGGGCCACGGCGTTTCACGAAGACCCACTTTTAATCATAAGAAGTAGGAATGGAATAGGATAATTGTTTTGATCAGAACTGGGTTCACTCACCAAATCATAGCAAGTATCGACAGAGTTTTCGTTATTTGCACAAATTCAATATTGAATCTTTTTTCCTTTGCAGTGGAAAGGGTCAGGGGTAAGGGCCGCACCCTGACAATTTATCATTCGTTAGACATTGTTTTCATCGGCATCCTCATCTACTGACGACTGGTAAAGTGAAAGGAAAGCTGAACATTGATATTGTGACATAATTTTTTTTTTTTATCCTAAGCTATATGGCTCCGTTGGGAAATCAATTCCACCAGTTTCAAACTTATATAATTACTCCATCAATCCCTTAAAATTTTATCTTTTACGGGGAGGAGTGGTACAAAAATGGAGAAGAGATGATAGTTATTAGGGATGGAAGACAGACAGATATGGTTTAATGAAAAGGAATTGAATTAAGAAAAAGAAGGAGAATAAGAAAGAAAAAATTAAAGAGATGATCGGAAGAAAATTAATGAAAAAAGTATTTATTCGAATATTGAAAGGGATCGAAAATAAAGAAAAAAAATTAGAAGAGAAAGAAAATAAAAAGAAAACAGAGGCAGGACGAGAAATACGAAAAAGAGAAGCGGGAAGAGAAAAACAACAAAACAGAGTCAGGAAGAGAAAAAGAAAGGAAAAAGAATCAGAAAGAGAGAAAGAAAGGAAAAAGAATCAGAAAGAGAGAAAGAAAGGAAAAAGAATCAGAAAGAGAGAAAAAAAGGATTAAAAAAAAAGAAGAATGAAGAGAAAAACGGATAAAACAGAAAGAAGAGATAAACGAAGAAAAAGAAGCAGGAATAGAAAAAAGGGAAAAGAGGTGGGGGGAGACAAAAAAGAAGTAGGAAGAGTAAAACGGAAAATGAAAGAGGGAGAGAATAAAGAAGCAGAAAGAGAAAAATGGATGAAAAAGAAGCAGGAAGATAAAAGGGAAAAAAGAAGCAAGATGAAAAAAAAGGGAAAAACTAAGAACAAAAAAAGAAGCAGTTAAAAAAGAGTGGAAACAAGTGGAATTAAGAGAAAAATATGGATTAAAAGAAGTAAGAAGAGTAAAAGAAGAAAAAGAGAAACAGGAAGAGAAAAAAAGAAGAAAAAGAGAAGCGGGGTGGGGAAATAAGAACAGAAGATAAAGGAAGAGAAAATGGAAAAAAGAAGCAAAAAGAGAAAAATGAGCAAAATAAGCAAGAAGAGGAAGGAGATAAAAATTAAGCAGGAAGAGAAAAACGGATAAAAATGAAGAAGGTAGAAAAAACCTAGGAAAAGATAAGCAGGGAGCTAAAAAAGGAAAAAAGATGCGGGAAGAGAATATGAAGTAAAAAGATGCAGGAAAAGAAAAACGAACAAAAAGAGAAGCAGAAAGAGAAAAACAAGAAAAAAGAATAAAAAAGGGTTTAAAATGAGCACGAAGAGAAAAAAAGTGAGACAAAAGAATGAAAGAGACAAAGTATTTTGAAAAACGAACAAAAAAGAAGCATGAAGAGGAAATCCGTTAAAAAAAAGGAGCATGAAGAGTAAAATGGTTGAAAAAGAAACAGAAAGCGAAAAACAGATAAAAAGGAAGCAGATGATAGAAACGGATAAAAATGATACAGGAAGCAAAAAACAGATAAA